GTTGTACAAGAAGGAGAGGGAAGTGTACGTGACTGAGCTGGGAAAAATAGATGGAACGTACAGGGAGATGTTTGAGGCATGGAATAGAGAGGAAAGGACGGTAGCTGTACTGGGGCATAGGAGGTGGGTTGAAAAGGCGGGAAGGGATATCGTTAGGATAGACAGACTAGGGAAGACATTCTTGAGCCACCTTTGGCAAAGTAGAAAGGAACGATTGGCCATCGATGATCGGTCCTGTGGGAACAATGGTCCGTCCTCTCGAGGACGCGTGGTCAATGGTCTAACCGCTAAGGCATGCAAAACATAAGAGTACGCCCCCCCCCCGGGGTGGCGCCCGCTTCGAGGTTTCGAGGTGACGGACAACAAGGCGACAACGCCGTAGAATTGGCACATATTGATCCCGGCGAAAGAAAAGAGCGCTGGGAAGGGATGAGAGATGAGAGATATCGTGCACGACGGTACCCAGTGATCATGACACTTGTGTCGACATCGCGAAACAAGCGCTGCGTGCCTTGTACACCTGCGGGGCCACCGGCTAATTTACAGTATCCGCTACGACGGAGAATGCTACGTACTGCTGCAGATTGTACACAAGTACACATACAGCAACAGCAGGGATATGTCGTACGTGTAGGCAAATGCTAATCGTGCCGTTGCCTGAACAGGGTTGCCCTAAAATTATGGAGGAACAAGCTGTGCATACAGCAGCAGTCGTCAAGACGCGTCGAACGCAAAGGTTGTATATAGAGGACACAGCATACACAAAGCAAGGAGGAGTGTCTTTCGAGAACGAGCACCACAGCATTGCCCGCGCCTGCAAGTTGGCCGAGATGGAAAACGTTGCTAACAAGGCAAACCCCGTTAGACACGAGCTCTTACCGGCGAGCCTTCTGCAGGAAGTCCCTGATGTCGTGGATTTGCTTCGGCTGCAACAATAGTGGGCACGACGCACCCAACCCCAAGCAAAGCCATGCACCAGTGAGAGCAAGGCGTCAACCACGCCGACATCCAGCCAAGCGAGAGCAGGCACAGGGAGCAAAGGCAGCAATCGCGAAACAGTGGAAGGTAGTTTCAGGAAACGTGCAACGAAGTTCTACACATGCCTCCCACAATACACGATCAAACACACGTCCGCAGGGATACTCTGTAGTGTCTTGTGCTCTGGTCAGGCGGACACCCACACGACGCTGCATCCAGGGGTCGGGGACGAGCGCCAGTTCGCGGTCAGTCTCCTGGTTACTAGATGGCAACGCCGCTACCACCTAACACCACATCGGTGTCGTCATTTTACGGCGGTCACCTGGTACGGTGGGAGCATAAATGTCACTTACCATGGTGCGACCGGCTGCTTGAGGTGGTACACCTCTTGCTGCTGCTGCTGCTGCTGCTGCTGCCGCTGCTGCTGAGAGCACCACTCGTGGGGGTGGGTTTCAAAGCACGCCAACCCACGGGGCATAGGGGACACAGATTGTTCTGCTTTGAAACTCCCGGGGATGATCTCTTCTCATCCCCTAATCAAGACTTCGCTCTCACAACCTCTCTCTTCTTACTCCTTCTCTCTCCCCGTCCTTACCAAGCCCTTGTCGTCACACAGCAGTGCAGTCCGAGAGCATGCCATGTATTTGGACAGCTCGCGAGATGCGACGACGGAGCTGAACCATCCTTCGGTGTCAACAACAACCGTTCTTTTTTTGCTGACATCTTTGAACGACCATGCGAATTCGATGGTTTCGCAAGATACCATACCACCGTGCGCCATTTTCCACAGCCCGACCACTGCAAACCGAATTTCAAGAATGTAATGACTTGTTTTTGGAAAGTTCTCCTCGGGATAGGGTGGGCTCTAACGCCGCCATTTTCGACACCGTCACCGATTGTGCTAGTATGTATCGAGCTTTGAACATCGCTCTAGGGTATATATACCATTACCATACCATTGACGACGGTAGGTTGTGCGTACCAGAAATAGGTTGCCGCACCAACGTATTTTTTCCACCACCCCGGTACTGGACGGCTCATCATCAAACGAAACTCAAGCGCAAGGGTGTGTTCTATATGGGTAGTTACCCTACAGAACGTTACAGACAAGTTCTGTGGCACGTCCGATACCCTACGGGATAGTTTTGCGAGATCTGTGGCACTCCCAAAATCCTACAGAACACGGCTATGAGTTCTGTGACGTCCCCTTACCCTACAGAAAAAGCTGTAGACAATTAATTGTAAACCTACCCGCTACGATATGTGGGTTCTGTACGACCCTAGCACAAACCCGATTGTTTCTGTTGAGTTCTGTGGCACTTTCAATACCTACCGGGTAGTTCTGTGAGTTCTGTGAGAATTTCAAATACGCTACCGGATAGTTCTGTGAGATCTGTGACACTTCCGATACCCTACCGGGCACTCCTGCGGGATTTGTGACACTTCCAATACCGTACAGAAAATGGCTGTAACATTTATGAACGTACCCGCTACGATCTGTGGGTTCTGTCCGACCTTCGCACAAACCCCAATTGTTTTGTTGAGTTCTGTGACACGTCCGATACCTACCGGATAGTCCTGTAAGTTTTGTGATACTTTCAAATATCCTACAGAAACTTATATACAGAACACACCCATGGAACAAGGGGTCCACCTATTTGAACCTATTCTATTTCCAAGTCGTTTTTGAGCCAAAAAGTTAAAAAAAAATACGGAGATAATTTCTCGAACGAATATAGAAAAAACAGGGAAAAATCACATTCTATTACGATGATCAAAAACGACGCTCGCGCGGTGATGGCGCTGACAGCGAGAGAGGCGGAGCGGAGCCAGGGAAGAGAGAGCCGTTGCGACGACGACTGCGATGATGATAAACTCATCGCACATTTGGCTGCGTACATCAAAATTATTTCATGTTGGGATCAAATGTGAAGCAAAAAAACTAAATAACAAAGGACAGTTTATAGTCGAATAAACCAGAATGCACAACATTTAAGCACTTCGAAATTGTGCGTGCAAAGGGCATGTACTGCGGTAGTGTGGTCCTCCTGATGAACCGATGATGATGGAGGTTGATTCCACGGTTCTATTTCTTCATCATAATTTCAAATACACAATCAATTCACTCGGAGCTCCTCCTGTCGCTCACATCACCCTCGTCCACGTTACGATCAGTTGTCTACAAGTGAAAAAAAAATACGGTACAACAGTGTCCGGTCGACTGGTCCAACACGGCATCCCCGCCCACGCTTGTATCGATCAGTCACGTACCTCACTTGCTGTGCGGACCTTTCGCTCCGTTACACTAGAAGTTATCCACAAGCTGTTTTACCAAGATTATCGAACCGAGCTAGACTGAAAGCAAGATGGCAAAAACAACGCATTAAGCACATAGTTTTACGCACAGAAGAATACTGTGCTGAATTCAGTTTTGTTAACCTCACTCCCATTCTCCTTGAAAATTTCAACATACGCCGGACATAACCAATGAAAACCTACAATTCGCGATAGATCAGGAGGGAGGGGGAGGGGGGGGGGGGGGTACTCATAGTCGTGCATGCCGTAGTCGTTGGACCATTGACCTCGCATCCCTACAAAGCCGGGACGGAGCACGCCGGGTTCTCACCGGACCAGGCTCTCACATCACCAAGCGCGAAGCGCTGTGAGATATTCGGCCACTTGCATGAAGGGTGCGCTGCATCCTGCTAAGGGTATTCGGCATCTTGTGCTT